TTGTCCCCRAGAGTTGCACAACGTAAGGTGTTTTCCTGAGGGAGCTTTTGGGGGGGTCTCCTGAGATATTCCTGGCGGAAAAGCTTGTTGAGGTTCCGCAGTGCTACCCCATTCATGAACACACTGCCCGTATTCTCCCGCTTTGGGGCGGCTTTCTGGTTTTTAAACATTTTGCAGCCCCCGTGGTTGAAACGGGAGTTTCACAATGTTCTCTTTGCGCTGTCRCTAACAGTGGTCCCCAGAAATGCCAGGGGGAGAAGAGAGCATCACGTCCCTCTGCCTGGGCACCGAGGGGCTGGAAACTTCACTGAGGTCCAAATCATTGGGCAGCCCTCRGTAAAAGCTGGGTAGCGAGGCTGGTTTCCGCCCTCCCTTTGCAAACCCAAGGTCAGGAAGTTCTCAAGCCCAATGGCAAAACAGAGGCGGCTTAGGTTCTGTTTCCTTTCCTCTCATCTCCTCTTGTACGAGCCCCTCGTTTCTGGGGCAGGAGCCTCCAGCGGGTTCTTCAGGGGTGGATCCTGTGCTTCAGGGAGCAGAAGTGCTTTAGCAGAAGTATTTTATACCCGTTCAACAGTTGTGTCATTGTGCCCAGGGTTGAGTGTCTCCGGAGCAGGCGAGATCCTGGCCCTGGTGCTGCTGGCACCTGCAGAAAGCGCTGGGACAATGGGATGGCAGCGGATGGAGAACAGCGTCCTGCCTCTTCCCTCCTTGCAGTGGTGACTCTGAAGTCACTCTTGGAGGGCTGCTGAAAGCCTTTTTTCCCTCTTTCCCCACTGAGCAGATTAGAGATAAGTGAAGAATTCCAGCCCCGGGGTACAAGCGGTTCGATCCTTCCCACCGTGCCGGAGAGGGAGATTGGAGAGAGCTTATCAGCTTGAGGAAAACTCAACCCAACCGCCCTCCCCAGCGTGATTATGGGTCGCAGCTTGGCTGGATGTCCCATGTCCCCTTCCYGGGAAACGGTGGCAGTGAAGGTGGCGAGAGAAGGGGTCGGCAGGGCAGAAAGCCCCCACAAAAACACCCCRAGCCTTGAACTTTTACAGACCCCACAGTTGTTCCACAGTCGCTGAGTCGCAGCGCAGCCACGGGCAGGTAGGGAGGCACCGAAAATAGAAGTCAGGCTGCTCCAGCAAATTAGCTCTGCTTTAAGGAATAAGTAGGGAAGCTGGAATTAAAGGGGGTCAGGAGCTGAGGAAGGGCAATGGGGATCTGTAGCATGGGGTGTTTGAGCCCTGGAAGAGGCTGAGCCTGTTTGTGCTGGTGTTAGGACAGCCTGGAAATGAGCCCCTGAGAGCCAGGCCAGAGGGATCCATCTGATCTGGATTAACCAGCTTTTGGCATCGACCCCAACGTAACAGCCCAGGGCGGCACTGCTGGATCGGAGGCTGGCAGAGCCTCCAATTCCCCATGGGAAGCTGGAAGGGCTCCTTGGGGAGCAACCTGCATGGTTTGGTGCGGGCAGGGTGTAATTTGGGAACGATCATTGAAGTGGTTCGCTGACAGGACCATTATGGGCTCTTGCCAGGTGCGCAATCTCATTAAATATGATTTTCCCGTCTAAGGTGGCTGAAGGCAGAAGCAGGATTTCCAGGGCAAGTTTCTTCGGGARCGCTGGTAGAGTCTCGAAATAGGTCTGCAGAAGCTGACAGGGGTTCGGGGAGCTGGTCTCATTACGTGCCGCCAACACCTCAGTCGCGTTTCTTTTATTCCCGTCCATCTCTCAGGGCTGCCAGGTGGATTCCTTTAGACCTGGGATTAATTTACAGAGGCTCCTGATGTTGCTGGTACCCCCTTGCTTTGCCAGCGCGAGCCCTGCTTGTGTCTGTGTGACCGGCACAGGCATYGCGGACGGGCGAGTTGCCTTTGCCAGAAATCACTGCATTTTTTGCCATTTTGCCCCTTTTTTGAGGCCTCCCCTTTAGACCCTGGTGAGTTCAGAATTCGCTTGGTACCTCCTTTGCTCAAGGACATGTGTACAGGCAGGGCTGATGTTTGCTTAGGCCTGAATACATGAACAGTAGAGAAAGTCCTAAGTGGCTTTTAGGTTTTTTTCCACAAAATCTACTTGGATCTGTAAGAAAATTCTGAGAGAGTCCCCTTTAAATTTATTCTTTATTAAATAATCCACTTGACAGTAGTGCTCGCTCTCGGATGTTTCCCAAGCTGCTGCCTCCTGGGCTTGCATGTGAATGTGCCCAAGAAGGGAATTTCTCCGTCTTGCCCACGCCAGGCAGGACTTYGCTGATCCCACGAGTGGGGCTGCGTCCAGGTGGGTGTTTCGTGGTGTGGGTGCAGAGCCCTGGGTGCTCGGTGCGGGTTGCAGCTGAGCAGCCCCTGTGGGGAGCAGCACCCCACGGGGTATTTCACCATTCTCAATCCCTCTGTGGCTGCTGCGGACGCTCTGAGGAGCAGAACGGTGTCATTTTCTATACGTGTTTTTCTATACGTCGTCGCGCTTGCRGCGGTGGAAGGGCTGGAGAGCTAAATGGAGGCTCTGCGAGCGCCCGRAAGCCAAAGGCCCTTGGAGGCTGACGTGAAAGCTCGAGGAAGGAGAGGGTCACATAAAACATGGGAGCAAAACGAGCTTCGTGTCGCCGCCGAGGGTCTGCGCTGAGCGCCCGGGCTGCGTCTGCCTCGCTTGGTGCCTCCTTTGGGGATAAAGAGCAACCCCGGTCCCTGCAYGGGGAGCCTGGCCTCTCGAGCAGCCCTGAGAGCCAACGATAATAAGGGCACGTTGTGTCTTTTCCCTCTTTAGGTAGATCTCAGAAATACYCTGCTGCTCAGCAGCCTGGCATTTGTTTGTTTGAGCTTTCCAGCGTTGCCAGCAGCCGAGTTAACCCTGGCACTTTTCTGAGAAACATTTTCCACGATTATAACGCTGCAGAAGCGATTGGAACAGCTCTTCGGTCCCTCTGTCCCTTCTGAGCCGCGTGTTCGAGCAGGAACTCGTGTGTCCTCAGGCCGAGATGCCGCCCAGCGGGTTCTCCTGCGGCTTCCCCCGCTCACGGGTGGGTTTCTGCGCCGGCTGCCGGTGAGTGACCCGGGCTGAGAGCTCCCGCGGTGGGAAACGTGGAGACCACGGCTGGTTSCCTTGTCCCCCTAGTTAAGGGCTTGTCCAACAACGCCCAGTCCAGCCACCCCCAACGCTGGGAGCTCCATGGGGTGGTTGCTGGTTTTCCAGGAGAATTCGCCTCTCTGTTTCTCTCCGTCTCTGCTTTGAGCAAAGTGAAATGGCAATTTTCTTTAATTCTGTTTTTTTTTTAAAAATGGTATCGATCTAGAGAGCTGGAGTGCAATGTGAATGATTCTCTTTAAATATTAGCTGTAAAAAAAAGGAAAAAAAAGCTGGAATAATTGATTTTTGGGGGAAGAACAGCGTAATTGGATGGTGTGGAGATGGCATGTTCTGTGAAGTGGCGTCTGTGGCTAATGCTGGTGGCCAGAACTGCTCCCTGCTGGAGCGTGCCGAGCGTCTCCGACGCGGAGACGGTGCCGCTTCCAACGGGGCCCGGGAGCAGCCACCGGCCGCCCCGTGCGAGCTCCGGAGCCGCGGGATGAGCACGGGGAAGGCGAGGGTGGCTGCACCCCGTTTCCAGTGAGACCCCACAGCACTGAGCTGGTCAAGGGGGGCTGGAGCCCGTCGGGCCCCACGTTTGCGCTGAATTTGGTAATTCAGAGAGTTTCCCCTGCAGTTCCCGAGAACATCCTTGTATTTTCCTTTCTGTAGGAGGCAGAGATCCCCCGCTCTCAGGACAGGGTAGCCGAGCTCACGCAGTCCCTTAAGCCAGTGGTCGGGCCTAAACACACACCAAGGGCCGCCTTGGTGACTGATGAGATTGAGGTCGTCTTAATCATCCTGCCTTTCCCATGGGGTGCACGAGATGGTCCAAAACACGGGCGTTACGTGGCCACGGCCGCCCTTCGCTCCGCCGGTTTTGGAGCACTCTGCGGTCGTTGCATTTGTGCTCAAATCTGGACCTCAAATTATTACCTCAAAGCWGCTCAATGGCAGAGGAGATTAAGGTTATTTCTGGTATGAAATAAATGGCTTAAAGGTGTTGCCGGATATTTTTTAGGACGGGGTCCTTGGTTTGTTGGTGGAACTGGTCTTGCTTAAAGGCTAAGTCTGAGCTGTTGGGTATTTGCCTGTTTTTTCTCCGTGGAGATGGGAAGGCAGCACATTTACTGTGATGCTTCACCTATTAAATGAATAGCTGGACAAACATCTTRCTAATACCAGTCCTTTCAGCCTTCCAGTAATTAGGGTTTAATTTAGGAAGACTGTGTATGGATTATCATTCGGGGCTCTGTGAGCTCAGGAAATTAAGGTCACTTTACACCGATTTGTGAAACTTGAGCATTGGGAGCGATTCTGGTTGGTGCATCCCTAGAGCACACGAGGGGTTTGGGACCTTTGGGCAACGTTTCCATGTAAGGGGCAGGGTTTGAGAGGTGTGTCTGGAGATGTGGAGAGATTTCACACGCCCTGCCCAGCCCACGGCGTGTTATCAGCGTGCGTTTTAGCCGTGGAAATGAGGCTAGCAGTAACGCTCCGTAGCGCTCGCTCGCTGCGTCGACGGAATCGATGGGATCGTGCGGTTGCAGCGGTGGAGGGGAGATGCTCTTGGGAGGATGGAGCTGCTCTCGGGTCCTTTGGGTTTTGGTTCTGCACGGTGGCGGTGCAAGGGGGTGGTTTCTGCCCGTGGGGACACTGGCACTGTGTTAAATTTTGTCCCCGTTGGAGCAGGATTTTCGTCGAGGTCCTGAAGAGTTGCGGGATCTAAGAAAAACCCTCGTGCTTAGTGTAAGGCCTAGAAAACAGGTTTGTATTTTGCAAAGTAAACCGCAGGTGGTTAACTGGAGTCTCTGCCCGCTTTCGGTCAGATGACCTGGTTTCTTTTTGCAAATTCCCTGGCTGCCTCTTAGGTACGGGATTGGAACCGAATTCACGCTTTCTTCGTGCTGTTCGTGGGACTTGCTGTGTGAAATGTGTGACGAGGATGGGCTTTAACGTGACGGCGCTTTGGTATTTCCCCCTCAAGGACAGGGAGAGCTTGTCTGGCTTCCAGCACGTGCCTGATCCTCGTGTTGTGTTAGGGGCTTTGTGTGTCCCGGGCACCGGCATGAACAGAGCGTTTCCGATGCCTCTGGTGAGGGCAGGATGCAGCAGCTGATGGAGAAGCTGCTGCAGGAGCTTCCTTTCTGTGTTTTATAGGTGCAGAATTACCTGGGCTCCCGGGTGACTTGCAGAATTAATATGCGGAAGAAAACTAGAAAGCAAAGAAAGTGGAAATTTCCAGTGAGTTTTGTTGTTCGTGCTGGGATGRTGGTGCTGGTTCCTGGATCACCTCTCTTTCCTGGCAGCGTATCCCAGCCACCAGCTGCGCTGGAGGCTCCGGGCGGATAGATACAGGAGRGGAGCAGGGCGCTGCCTTGGGAGRAGCTGCTCTGCGGCGTTTGCATCTYGCTCCTCYGTGCTCTCCACGCGTCCCATGTGCTAAATCTGGGGACTTCCACGGGAGTTGTCCYGCTTTGCCTGTCCCACGGGGACGCAGCCGGCGGAGGCGCCGTGGCTGCGCGCGCCCTTCCTGCCAACGTGCGGCCCGCGGCGCTGCGGGCGCTGGCGTTCGCTGCCCACACGTTTCTCGCCTCTCGGGTTGCTCCAGTTCCCAGTCCCGTCCCGTCGCCGTGCGGCGAGTGTGTCCCGTGCAGCGCCGGCCCGCGGAGAGCAAGAGGCGACAAGACCAGAAATCCCGCGTGTTGTCAAGGGGGCAGAGGCACCCCCTGCACTGCAGTCTCCTTAAATGCAGACTCATRTGGAGAGCAGCCCCGCAGAGAGGGACCTGGGCGTCGTGGTGGACGACRAGRTGACCATGAGGCAGCAGTGTGCCCTGGTGGCCAAGAAGGCCAACGGGTTCCTGGGGTGCATCAAGAAGAGCGTCTCCAGCAGGTCAAGGAGATTATCCCCCTATGCAAAGCCCTGGTGAGGCCACATCTGGAGACTGTGTCCAGTTCTGGGCTCCCCAGGRCAAGAGGGATGTGGAGCTGCTGGAGAGAGGATGATCAGGGGCCTGGAACATCTGCCCTGAGAGCAGAGGCTGAGGGAGCTGGGCCTGTCCAGCCTGGAGCAGAGAAGGCTGAGGGGAGACCTGAGCAGTGTCTGTAGATACCTCAAGGGGGGCAGTGAGGACTAGGTGACCTCTGAGGTCCCTTCCAGCCTTAAGCGTTCTACGATTCTAAATGCCGCTTCTAAATTGGYGTCTTTGGAAATGGCAGCTCTCCGTGCTGGCCGTGCTCGGCGGCGCTCGCACCATCTGCCGAACTGCATGGTTGGTGGGGGCAGCGTGCCGGAGCAAAGGGAATTTGCTGGCGGAAACGCAGCCTGTGGGAACAGGAAATATCCCCCGGCTTCAAAGCGGGAATGAAGGCAGGAGGAACGGCGGCACCTTCGTGAAATGGGGCTTGTAGAGACCAGCGTCGTGCCCTTCCGCTGCAGGGCAAACACTGGCCCAGGTGGAATGGGGAAATAAGGGCGATTTTTATTTTATTTTATTTTATTTTATTTTATTTTATTTTATTTTATTTTATTTTATTTTATTTTATTTTATTTTATTTTATTTTATTTTATTTTA